ATACTACCCGTCAAAAATACTACATCTGGTAGAAATTTGAACCAAATCGGAGAGGGTCGATTTTGGTCGAATTTTTGTTGCCATGTACTCCCCCACATGGCGAAACCTCATTTTCGGGCACATTTTGGCCTAAAACTCATAGGGTGCTCAGATTTATCTTTAATTTCAAAACAGTTTCTAATGTATTTTTTAATGTAGGATCTGAATTTTATGTTTAATTTTATAAAATAATGAACTTTTTTTTCAGGACGGTCATTTTTTGGTCCAAAAAATTGAAATTTTTCCTCGTAAGATGGAAGAATTTTAGCATAGTGCCAATACAAAAAATGTTCAAAATAGTGCCGTAAAACGTTCTACATCAAGACCTAATTATTATTTCACTTAAAAAAAATTTTTTTTAGACACTCCACGACCATATTTTTGCAGGTGTGGGACAAGTCGAGTCAAACTATATCTCACATACCTTAGAAGTCCATAAAAATGCAATATATTAAAAATCAACCAGAAAAAAACTAGTTTGAATTTTTCTGTACAATGGGTAATAGGCCTGAAGTTAAGTTCTACAGAGAACGCGTCTTAAACAATTTTAAGCTGAGTTACGGATGTATCGGCTGGATTTTCAATTAGCTTCTCTCAAATATGATCAGACAATATCCAAATCTGGAGATACGCGTTTTCAGAATCTGATTGAAAACCGATTACCAGAGCACATTTTCAAAGAAGCTAATCACTTTCCCCCCGTGCACCAATTTAAAATTCACCCGAAACCAAGTTTTGAGTGCTACTAGGTAATTTCCAGAGTTAAAACCGGTTCGAGAATGGATCTTCCCCTGACTTGCTCCTCTCCTTTGACTGAAAATGGAAGTGCGTTTAACAAGTTTCAATTTATTAGGTTGGCGGGAAAGTCTTTGTCACTCTGTTTGTTTAATCACTGTTCTCGTATATGGAGGCTGTGTATGATATCGACTTTAGTGAATAACAAGGTGATAAGAACCTTCCATATAAACAAGTCCCCATCTCCTTCCCTGCTCCTCATCTGTAATTGAAACGATATGTTTGTTCCCACTGCTATTCACATCAGACATGTTTTGATTTACCTCTTCCTATCTCACACCACGATGAAGGATTCGGAAACTTTCTTGAAGAATGTGTACAACACACATGCCCCTCACTACAATACTATTCGCAATTGGTTCCATCGTTTCGAAAAAGATGACTTCTCGCTCGATGAAAAGGATCGCTCTGGGAGACCCCGTGAGTTGGATTTGGACAAGCTGAAGCACGCATTGCAATCGGATCCATTTCAATCTAGCCGTGAACTAGCTGTCACATTCGGAGTTCACCATAGCACAGTCCTTGAAGGTTTGAAGTCTCTTGGAATGAGAAAACTTTTTGGTCGATTCATACCTCATCACCTGACTCAAGCCAACCTTGACCGCCGAGTCGACGATTCGATTACTCTTCTCACTCTCCACGCGGGCGATCGATGGCTGGACCGGCTAATAACCGGAGATGAGAAGTGGGTCTTCTACGATAATCACCACAGGAAATCCCAGTGGGTTGGAGAAGGAGAGAGCCCACTGGATGTCCCCAAACCCGACCTTCATCCGAAAAAAGTTATGCTCTCTGTGTGGTGGGGAGTGGACGGCCCCATCTACTGGGAACTTCTGCCCGAGGGCAAAACAATAACTGGAGACCTCTACACTACTCAACTACGAAACCTCAAGAAAGCAGTCGACCGTTCGGCCCTGAAAGACAAGAAAGTGTACTATCAACATGATAACGCTCGCCCACATGTTTCGAAACAAGTGAAGCAGGAGCTGATGGGATATGGATGGAATGTTCTCCCTCACCCCCCGTATTCTCCTGATCTTGCTCCTTCCGACTATTGGTTATTTGGCGATATGACACGTGCCTTCGAAGGAAGAAGCTTCAATTCCCGTGGAGCGGTCGAAGCGGCACTCAAACAATACTTTGCCTCACGCCCGGCTGGATTCTACCGCAATGGAATCCATAAATTGAGGGAACGTTGGAGACATGTTGTTGATAATGATGGACAATATAATTAATTATTCGGTTATTTTTTCTTTGAGAAATAAACTATTGAAAAAGTGACAAAGACTTTCCCGCCAACCTAATATTAGAAACTTTGGGTTCTTTATGACAAGGGGGGGGGGCATGAGAATAGGGGGCCCAAGACAAAATGGGGGCCCATAGGTAAAAAGGTGGACTAAGTAAAGAATTATCAATTTTTTCAAGTTTTTCGGATGTTTCTCTTAAAATTTAATACTTTGCGCTTGTTTCCACAAAAATTCATCACTTTGAAAATTTTCAGTTTAGGTCAGTTTTTTGCATGAAAAACACAATTTTGCCATTGTAACTGTGTAATTTAAGTTATTCAGTTAATGTTAACTTGATTAAGGCTTAGTAACATTAAAAATGTCAAAAATGAACAAAAA